TGTCAGATCAGGAATTGGGAGAGTAGAAGCAGTGCCCAATGTATTCTCTCAGTAGGGTGATTTTTAGCTAGAACAGGTTTCTTACAGGGAAGGCTAGGGGCTGCAGTGTGGAGCACATTTTGAAGAGCACCTAAATTGTATCATTCCCTTCCCTTCCCGCAGTGAAGGACACACAAAATATCACACCTTCCCTCAGGCTGCATTCCCACACTTCCCGTCCTGGTACACAATTCCCTACCCACAGATTCTATCTGTATTTTAAAATTCCTTTTCCAAAAGAAGTTTTAAGGGTTTTTCTGTTTCGTAAGGGTATTTTTCTACAGGGCGGGTCTGAGAGAAATATCACAAAAGGTGCTCAGGCCCCGCCCTCTCCCTCTGTGAATCTTCCTGCTTGTCTCTTCAGCAGGCGGCATCAAGTGTTGAGGTAAAGTCTCTTGTCTTTCATACTCCTCTGTGGACTTGTAGAGGACTCCCGTGAGGGAAGAATCCCCCTCACTGTTCCTATCACCCTGTTGCCATGGGCCTTTGGCCCCTCACTGAGGCCTGGGGTGGAAACTCTCCAGGTTTCCATTACTTCCCTGTTCTGTGCAGGGCGCTGAGGAGGAAAGAACTACTCTCCCTTGGTTCTCCAGGTTTTAGTTATTCGCCAGCCTCCATGGAGGGGATTCCCTGCCCCACCAAGCTTCTCGTTCTCTCTACTCCTATGCAAGATTCTAATGTGTGAAGAAAGGGGGCTCATCCAGCAGGCTATTACAGCTCCTGCTATTCCCCAGCTCCTTGTGGAGATCATAGGAAAAGGAGACTCTTCTGACCCAAGCTTTTCTGCTGCTCTTACTGAAGAAGACCCTTTTGCAGAACCAGAGTGAGCTCCCCAGACCAGCAGTCCACGAGAGTCATTGTTATCATGTTAGTCTAGGTGACAAGTGCACCTTTCCGTCAGCAAAACCATGAAATTGACAATATGCAAAGGGCTGACAGGTGCACAAAATAAACAGTGTGTGTGTGTGGGGGGGGGGGGAGTGAGGAGAGAGACAGAAGAACATTATTTCTTACTAAGTTTCTATTCGAGTAATTTTAGGGATTCCTTGTAATTATAGTGGTAAAAAAAACCAAACAAATGTGATTTTTCATGTTCTTTTAAGTTCTCCATCTCAGGGTCTTTAATAAAGCCCCATATTTATATCTTCACTGATGCTCTGTGGCCTCTGCACTCATTAAAATACAGCAGGGAACTCTTTAAAATGTTTGAGTAAACACATACTGATGAACTATAAGTGCTTGGTACTTTGGCATATGATGATTCTCTTTCAGTAATAAGAGCCACTCAGTCGCTTCCTGCAGATTACTAACATCCATTTAACTACATGAGCTTCTGCTTCTAGATATTTATTCTTTACTTGAACAAATAAGCAAGTCAAACTGCGTATCAGTTATTTAAATAATATAGCACTGTTATTTTGACTCTTCTTTCCCTTCTTTATACATATATACATACATGCATACAAATTAATCTCTTGTGTAGTGAGGCACAATTCCATTAGCTTCTGAGGAGTTGCAGCTGCTTATAGCGGGGCAGAATTTGGTCTATTGTGTGCCCTGATTATTACTAATTTATACAGAGTCCCGTCCGAGCTGTGAAGGTTAAAGTGGGCTCACTGCACATCATTCTGCCTGAAGTAGTTATGACTTCATGTCTTTTGGGAAAGTGTAATGGATCTCCTAGCGGTTTATTACTTAAGGTTTAATTTTTTGCTTTTTCTACTCTAAATTAGAATCTGTACTTGAGATAAAAAAAATTAAACCACCCACTCAGCTAATGAAAATGCATGTGCAAAAGAAAGCAGGTTTCAGTATTCCAACCAGGAACAGGTGGAAGGCATTGGGGTATTAAAATATGTATGTATTTATATATGGCCCTGGACTGATCTACCCAGATAGCTGCAGACAGAGCTGAAATCATTTAAACCTAACTGAGCTGTTCATTTTCTTGTAATGTTGGTGAAGTCAGAACTGATCACTTTAATTTTCAGGGGGAAGGGTGTAAAAGGCTAGTTTGGTACAACAGAGTATCACATTATATATATATATATGTTACAGTACATAACATTGGGCCTGATTCTGCTCTTACTTACACAAATGTAAATCAGGAGTTGAAATCAAGGGGGTTACCCTGGTGTGAAACAGATTCAAAACCCAGATGGGTCATGAACCTCAGAAATTCTGGTACCCACACATGATGTAAATCAACAGTTTATGAATGCCAGACTGTTTTTGCTGAAAAATCAGCAACCCCTGAAGGCAGTCCTGACCTAACCTCAGAATCCTTGTAAAACCAGTTTAAAAAATGCAGGTGGTTAATATCTACTTCTGCAAAGAACAGCAGGCGAACATGTAGCCTGCTCCGGCTGTTATTGACATCAGTCGCACAACTGTTGATGACTTCAGAGGAGCAGTACTAGTCATTTAAAAACATTGCTTATCAAGAATATCCCCAAGGGCCTGCTTTCTGCAAGGAAGGCTGAGACTAGGGTTACCAATTTTGGTTGGACGTATTCTGGGAGATTTCATCACATGACATCCTTTTTAATTAAAGAATAATCTTTAATTTCTGGAGACTCCTGGACAACCCTGAAGGGTTGGCAACCCTAGCTGAGACCAGGACATATCTGTACTCATGTCAGAACAATATAGTGGGGAAAATAGCTTTGTTTCTATGGTTGATTACTTAGATTGTAAACTCTTTGGGACAGAGACTGTCTTTTTGTTCTGTGTCTGTAGCGTGCGTAGCACAATGCAGTCCTGGTCCATGCCTGAACCACGATGCTGGTGATGATAATATGGTGCTTTTATACTTTACATTTATTGTAAGAGTTTTGCTGCAAATAGCATTTTAATTTTAAGTCCATAAATTTTAATCAAGAGTGATCCAATAGTGAGTACAGGTCTAATAAAAAACATAATGAATGGACATTGGCTCCACATTACATTTAATTAATTAACCTTTATCTTTGTGTCTCATTGGAACCACAGGGATAGGAAATATAACTGCTTTTTCACAAAAGGGGCACAAATATGAAATTATTTCTGAAGGGAGATTCAGATATTTAAATGCACTTCTTCAGCCAAAAGCTTGCACTTCTACATTAGCTTGAAAAAGTCAAGATAATAGTTTTAATAAAATTATATTAAAAGGAATGAATTGGCATATTTCATTTTAAAGATATGCTTTTGTCATGTCATATAATCCTGTGGTTCACTTCAGCATTGAAAGAAAATAAATTGCCGTATTCAAAAAAGGAAAATGCATCTTTGAAAAACTTGTACACCTTTTTTCAGGGGATTAATTTTTCCCCATTAGTCTCAACGGTTTTGTCTAGTCAAGTAGGAAGAAAAGGGTTATGGCTCCTTTAATGGTTCACCACCTCTTTGGGGCTGGGAAGGGGGCATCATCTGAGCTACGGGCTGGCAGGAGGAGCTCAGGTAAGCCCGTGGTTCTCTGTGGACCATATATGTCCTGTTCTGCCAGACAGAGCCCTCTCCCATATCAGTTGCTCCCGCGCATGGGATTGCAGTGGGCCAGGTTTCTGTGATCTCCTGTGGCTATGGCACTGATCGCCTCTTTGGAGACTAGTAAGGAATTTTCCCCTCACTTCCAGATTGGCTGGAGCAGGATTTTTTGTTTTCACCTTCCCCACAACAGCTCCAGGACTTGCCTAGATAGGTTAGGAGGAATGGTTCAAATTGTCACAACTTGGCAGGTGCCCAGTGCAGGTACTCATTCCACAGTGGGTCCAGTTCCCTGATAAACTGGAATGGGAAGTGGACTTAGGGGAAGGCATCCCCTAAAGAATCTGGGGAACAGGGTTAGGGCTTCTAATATCTGGCACTGTGAGGAGACAAGTCCCTTTACCCTTATATGAAGGGAGTGTGGTGGGATCCCAGCAACAGTCTGGGGACAGCTGGGGGAAAGGGGAGTGCTGATAACAGCCTTCACCGAATAGGTGCAAATGATTAAGGAAGGAATCATGACATGCAGTGTACAAGTTATTGCCAGGTAGTTCTCAGAGGAGTTCAGTTAATAAAGTTGTGGCCTAATTAAACTACATCCCTTGTTCTTACTTTTCTTCCTGTATGTCTGGGACAACAGTGAACTGTCATTGATAGGACTGAAGTTTCATTGCTTTATATGGTTAACTTAAGCAAGCTCAGAACTGAGTTTCCCCCATCAATGGGAATGGGTGGAATCTGATGATCTAATAGCTTAGTAGCATAAATTGATTGCCCAGAACACTTAAATGGAAGCATTTAACTTTTGGGCGTATCCATGTTTATAATGCATAAGCATGTTCTCAAAACCAAAACCAAAAAACACACAGGGGAAAATGTTTGGATTTTTCTAATGCTATAGTTACCACCTTGCATCTGGCAAAAACACTGAATCCTCTCTAAACAAATGAAAGCAATAGAGCTTAACTTTAGTTCAATAACAAAAGCAAAATCTGAGGCTAAAATGTATTGGAGGAGAAAATAAAAATGAAAACAGGAATTGAAGCTAAGGCTAACATTTCACTGCATCTTGTTGACAGATGATTGTTTTTAAAGGCAGTTTTTAGAACTAAATCAACTTCTTGCTAATATCGTTAGTTATGTATAAATTAGAGATACAACCTTCATAGCTATAATCATAATTTTTTTAAAAAAATATTCGTGCTAATAATTATTGAGCTCCTCTGATTTTACTGAAGTTATCTTAATTATCTCATCTTAATATGTTACAATTTCATAAAGTTGTAAAAATGCACTGCTCATTACTACTATCTGTGTTCTAAAAACAGGTGCTTTTTAATAGAAAAGAGACAAGATAAAGGTTTCCTGCTTGCACTGTGGACAACTGTATTATTTCCTAAACTCCAAATAGAATACAGCTACTAAAATAGTTGCTAGATTTTCTATGAATCCCAGAACATACAATGATGTTTATATTTTGGTTTTTTTTACAGATTAAGATGCCTGGTCAAGCAACTGGAGAAAGGTGATGTTAATGTGGTGGATTTAAAAAAGAATATTGAATATGCAGCATCTGTGTTGGAAGCAGTTTATATTGATGAAACCAGGTAAGTCTTCAAGGGGGAAAAACAAGAGTTTTATGATGGGGACTTATATTCTACCATTGGTGTTTGCTCTTAATTCCAGCTGACATCAGCTAGTGCTCAGCAGAAGATATAAGGACAGAATATGGCTCTTGGGGCTTAAGAGTAAGCGAAGGAATTTAAGATTCAGGGGATCAAATGTCACCTTCTGGAGAGCTTGCTCAGTTCCCATTTACTTTAATGGGAAAGTGGGTGAAGCACAATCCTATATCATGAGAATTTATGAATGGGTGTAACTGAAAAATCCAGCAGCCAGATTCTGATACTCTTCATCATTGTGAGGGGTACTTTACAGCACGAACATGTCTGTTGAAGAGAAGGAGAGTTGTTGTCAAGTGAAATGCTAATGAAGCTAAGTCTGAGAATCATAATCTGGCCCACAATAAAGAGCTTTATGAAAAACTAGGATTTGTTTTATTCTATTTTTTACAAATATAAAAACTTGATGATTGTTACTAGAACTATTACTTGCAATTATTTTTTTTAAATGGTTTGACTTTAATGAGACTGTAAATTCTAAATATTCCTATATTTGATTTCTTGAAATAATTCTAAGACTTGGCCTGTAATTGAAGTTAAACTAACTGTAAGGCAACTTTCTGGTGTTTCCCTAGATCTTATATTTCACTGTGCTGACCTTTTAAAGTTTTCTCCTGAACTAAATGTGCTTCCAAGAATGCCTGTCAAAGCTTCTCCAATATTGTTTGGATGTCCAATATGTGTCTGCTCCTGTTTCCTTATTCAATTTAAGAATGCCTGACCTTTTAATAATCATTTCAAGGACCTAACTCATCTCAGTGTGCTTAGTGCGCTATTGGAAGGTGCTCAGATACTATGGTGATGAGTGTAGCATTAGAACCTTTATAGAATAGAATAGCTTCTACATTTAGAAAGATGGATGGAAATACTCATGTAATATTTCTGTTCTCTTTCCTTTAATGTGAAACCTTCACATACCAAGCATTGCACATCTATAATTTTGAAGGCTCTCCCATGGGGGGATTGTGGGGCTCGCGCCGCTCTGAAAAATGAGAAAATGAAATCACTGCAAAATAAATTGACCTTCAGCAGCAGTCTGTGCACCATTCACAGTATGGTGAATGGTGCACAGTAGTTCACATCACAGACTAATTCTTGCATCAGAAGGAGCCAGGCAGGATCAGCTGCTGCAGTGCCCTATTCCTGTCCTTAGCATGTGCATATTCCTGTAAGGGGTTGCAAAGCTGCAGCACCAGAAGAACTTTACTGAGTAGCCTGTCCGCCATTACATAGCCCTGAGAGACACTTTCATCAAAAGTGCCCTGAATGTCCCCAGTTCGGCAAGTTACTTAAGCACAGGACCTAATGTAAAGCACATTAGGAGTCTCGTTGACCTCTGTCCATGTGCTCTAAGGAACATTGTGCTTTTAAGTTAGGTATGTGCTTAAACATTTAGCTGACTTGGAGATGTTATGAGCATATACAGAGCTAAGACAAGTTCCAGTGCCCAACCTGAAATGCTCACCCTAGAGCTACTACTGACCAACCATCTGCAAAGATGCTAAGGTAGAAGGCTTGAGGCTCAGGCCTTGTCTACATGAGAAAGCTACACCAGTTTAATTTAATTCATTTTATACTGATTTAGTTAAACTGGTGCAAACCCCATTGTGGACATTTTATCTTAAACCAGTTCCTAATTGACTAAAGCTAAACCAAAATAAACCTGCTTTAAAGTGAACTGAGTGTCCACTCAAGGCTTTTGGTTTAATGAAGGCTGTTTAAAAATCACACCCTTTAGCCTGGGTGGGTTCCTCAGGTGAACAAGCCCTCAGAAAAGTATGCTGCACATTTCTTTGGATTACGCCTTTCCCAATAATAAATTAGTGGTTCTCAAACTTTTGTACTGGTGACCCCTTTCACATAGCAAGCCACTGAGTGCAGCCCCCCTTTTAAATTAAAAACACCTTTTTATATATTTAATACTATTATAAATGTTGGAGGCAAAGCAGGGTTTAGGGTGGAGGCTGACAGCTCGCGACCCCCCATGTAATAACCTCGTGACCCCCTGAGGGATCCCGACCCCCAGTTTGAGAACCCCTGTAATAGATGCTGTAATATTGCAATGCTGCTCATTTTCCCCAGGACAGAAAATTTTGTTTTTTAAATCTCTCTAGTATGCCGTGTCCACTGCCAGTTATAAACAATTATTTTCTCATGATTGCCTGCACAGTTCACTTCCCCAGGAACCTTTAGAATGTTCTTTACCGTTTTACTTCAAAAGGGACCATGCAGTTCATAGTGATTGGTTCTTCTATTGCTACATGGCCAAAAAAAACATGTAATTCCCATTAGTAATAATGGGAGATATGTTAAATAGTTTTCAGCATAGTCAGCTGTAGACAAAGGCATAAAGCACTGCTGGTGCGGGGAAAGTATTCTCTCCATCCACTTCTCAAACACTGTGGTTAGAGGGATGTACCATTCCTAACCCAGTTCTCAGTAGGAGTACCATGACTATGTACATAATGTGAGTTTTGGCTCCTCTCAAACATGGGGTACTGTGGGGATATGAACAGAGCCATTATAATGAAGTATCCAGGCTTTTATGGCTTTGGGTGGAAGGACATTACTGAGCAGGTCTAAGCGCCCATGATGGCCAGCAGGTAGAATTTCATACAAACAGCAGGATAAAATGCCACACAAACATATTCTGTGGATGGAACAGGTGCATTACATTTAGTGTGAGCAAATCCTCAAATGAGTTAGTCACCATTAGGGGGCTAGCAGGCTTATTTTGATTGCCCAAATAAGAACAAACATATGTAATTTCACACTGGTTTGGAAAATTCCCATTCCCCACAGGCTACTTTCTAAGGAGACTAGTTTTATGTCCTGAGACTATTAAAATATTTTCACGAACTGTAACTAAATCTTTGAATAAAGGACTTTTCGCTCTTCTCTGACCTTATGCAAAGCAACATTTATTCTTAAAAAAATTCCCTGTAGGGTAATCTCATTTTTCATAGCACAAAATTGAAAGAAACCTGAGATATTTTTCTTTCTTTTTTACTCTACTGATAATCTTTATTCTCAAATGCAAATTCAAAATGAGTGCTGACCTCAGTTCACAAACCCACTAAGTTCTGGCAGCATTCCCTTTTATAAATGGATGCCCAGCTGTAAAGTGGCCCTGCCAGTATTTTGTATTATACACAAACAAATACATATAACATCTTTATATGAGGGGAGGGATAGCTCAGTGGTTTGAGCATTGGCCTGCTAAACCCAGGGTTGTGAGTTCAATCCTTGAGGGGGCCACTTAGGGATCTGGGGCAAAATCAGTACTTGGTCCTGCTAGTGAAGGCAGGGGGCTGGACTCGATGACCTTTCAAGGTCCCTTCCAGTTCTAGGAGATGGTATATCTCCATTAATTTATTTATTTATTTACTTACCTATGTTACTAGTGGCTTGTTAAATAATAAAAATGGAAATAATTTAAAAAATGAAATGTACTTTTAATCATTTGTTATTTGTTTACTTATTGCGTGTGTGTGAGAGAGAGAGACAAAGACAGTTTGACCCATGACGGGTACACAATCTGCTGCCCAACCCTGAGTCAGTTCACAGCCTTATATTTACAAAATATGCTCTCTGGTGCGCCTTAAAGTCTTGATTCTGCACCACTGAAATCAATTTGGAAATTAAAAGAGCTATTGTTCAGCACAGGGAACTGAAATCTCCATTATAATGTATTCATAATAATACTAGCTCTTTTACATAGCACTCTGCCATGGGTAATGTAGAAAAGGTAACTGCATTTTAATCAGCCTTAGTGGTAAACTCTGTTCCAAATCCCCAGTATAAAGTTTTTAGGTATAATCCATAGACAAATTCTCTCCAGTCTTTGGGGAGGAAATCTGTCATTTGGCAGGAATGATAAAATATTAAGTCCCAGTGAATGAAGTAGGAAGAAACAATTGTGTGTGGTCACAGTTACTACCCATCCAAGAGGAAAGCAGGTGCTTTGTTACACACAGGGTTTCTCCAATGAAAATTTGGAATGGAATTACATTTATCTATTAGTAGATTAAAAATAATAGCCTAGATCATCAAAGGATGGGTTAATCCCTCCTCCTCGTAGTACTCTGGAAGCATTTAGTCGCAGATATTTTGAGCCTGAATATACATTTCTTAATAATGCAAAACTCAAATTGACTTCAGCAAGAGATTTGCTTACTTAAGGACTGCAGCAGAGCGTTCTTTAATTAGCACTACTTTACTTAGTGGCTATTTGTCAGCAGGTACCTTTATCAGCCTGTTTTCATACACGTTGTGTTGAATCCAAACTCAGTCCCTTCCTGGGATTTCGTTTATTAACAGAAAAACTTACAATAAAATAATGTAGGCCTTGATCCTGCAAATATGTAACGTGTAGTCAACCTGCTGCTCTTACACAGAGCACAACTGAAATCAGTGGGGCTCTGCATGCCCAATATTCCTCCTGTGTGCTACACATTACAAGATAAGCCCCATAAGGTTCAGTACAAACTTTTTGTCCAAGACTTCACTGCTCCTAGGGTTCCTCCCTCCAGACTGCTCATCCCACACCCTATATCCTCTGTAAGAGCCACTCTTACCTCTCATATCCAAATGAGGTAATAAGCCACCTGCCACATAAGCCAGCAAAACCCACCCAATCCTTTCCAAGCAGAATCAACACATGCTAACAGGATGGGGTGTTTTGGATGAATACTGCCAGCCTGTTATGCTATGACTTAAGGAGCTATTGCTATCCATATTTGTACATTATACTTCATTCGAGTCAGAGGAGAAGACTGGGTCTGCATAGAAAAGTTGGATGTATATTTCTGTAAGTAAAATTGCCAGAGCCTTGTTGGTTTATGTACAGGATGCAATACATATTGAAACTGGGGTTTAGAATTAAGCTGTTTAATACAGTGAGAAGGAAATCTTTCAGGTTCTCC